AGTGATGTTATTCATCAAATTTCAAGTTTTTGTATGGATAAGAACATTCATCCCCGTGGTCTGTCATTAATCACATTGTATTAATATGGAGCTAATAGAAGCTACATGTCTAACAACCTAACCAATGAATGACATGAAATTATAAGAACCCGGTGCTCTCACCACAGAAAGAAAAAAAACATATTGATGAAAGCAAAATCCAAGTTTTATAAATAAATTTTACAAACTAAGGCTATTAAAACATTGATAATATATTTCAACTAGCTGTTCCATCATCTTCTACAACATAAATTAAAAATACACATCAAAATCTCAAACAAAAGAAAAGAAAAACCATTTACTTATAAAATTGAACATATGGGTAAAACATGTTAACATTATATAAATTTAAAAAATTAAAAACAAAAGTTGCAACATTAAAAATTCAACAAATCCATCACAATACCCAGAAAATCGTCAAACCCAATTTCACTTCTAAAAATCCTAACCACAAATTATCCCTTTTTCATTATCAACACCAAGGAAATCAAAAACCTAACTTTCCCAATTCATTTGTTTTCTCACATAACCATATCTTTATTTTTTACCTACAAACCCTTTGTTGTTGTTGACGATAAAGGAAGTTAGAAACCCAGAATCAAACTTAAAGAACCTGGAAAACAAAAATAGAGCAAAGTTAAAAACCAAATAGATAGGGTTTTGATATTCTTGCAATGTTAGTGAATGGATGAAGAAAGAGTATTAAAATAACACAACATTTGACAAATAAAGAACACTGAATGACTCATAAAAGATAGCTGAAAAAGAAAACTTGAAACAATAAACATCACTTCCGGATTCAAGCTATGGCTATTTTTTCAAGCTTTCAAGCAGTAGTTTCGATTTGGTCTCACCACAGCTACACAATCATTTTTTTCACCAAAGCAATTCCAATCTGGTTTAGTTTTTCGAGTTTCAAGTTGTAGTGTCAAAAGGTTACAATCTGTTTCCCACTTCCTTTTTAGGCAACGGAGGCACCATACATGGAGCCATTAGAAACTGCACCACATGCGAATCTTCACCCATTCCGCGTGAACCAAAATCACCAAACCTGAAAATAACAAACACTAAATCAAAAACAAAACCGAACATGTCCGACGCTCAATAATGAACATGAACATTAAACACGAGTAAAAGAAGAAGAGCAAATATTCAGGAAAAGTTTAGAGAGAGAGAGAGAGAGAAGGGGAAAACAATTTGGAAATGTTTGATAGGAGAGAGAGAGAGAATAATACAAAAAGAAGAGGAAGATAAAAAAACAAAATGTCCATAGTAAGCTCATAAAGAGTAGTACGCTCAGAAAGAAAAATTTGTTGCAATGGAACTAAATGATATCATCGAATGCACCACACCTAATAAATTAAGACCAAATTGAAAAAACATGTAGTTGGAATAGAACAAAGTGACATCATCGATTAGAAAAAGTAATATTTGGACACAAAATACCCTCAAAGTGATGTGTTGGCAGAATAAGACAAAAGGGCAAATAATTTTTTTCCAGAACATTTTCTTTTCTTATATGGTCGATGAAGAAATGCTTGAGGAATCTGCATTTGAATATTAGACTCTGACTCTGAAGATCACTTATGAAGACTTTTCCTCTGATGGAGATTTAGACTCTGAAGCTTCAGAAGCCAATAAGTGGACTCTGAAGTGATCAACCTCTAAAGAAGTTAAGTCTGAAGGAAAGTCAGCCTCTGAAGCAGAAGTTCTTCTACCAATGCAACTTTGGCCGACTCAGAGACTTTTTTACCACTTGAAGACTTAAGGAAAATCTATTCCTTGGCGCCTGAGCTTCAATAGATAATTCTTCTTTTAGAAAGGTGCTTTGTTGATGTGTCTAATCAAGTAAAAAGTTAGCCCTACCTATTTGGTAAAATTCTCCAATGTCTCTTTTTCTTCTCTCTATAAAACGAGCTGCAGACCCAAGGAAGAATTTAAAAAGTGCTATATAACTCTGTTACAGACCCTATTTCCATTGATATTCAAAGAGAATCTACTTTGTCAAATTTACAAGATTTAAAACATATTAACTTTGTGTATATCTTAGAAGTTCATAAGTCTTAGTGTCTTTCTAAGTTGTATTGTATCTACACCTATGATTGTATATCAAGTGTATCTTTTACCCAAATCTCTTAAAAGATTGTTATAAAGTTAGAAGTCTATTATTTGTGTGCTTGAGCATTTTAAGTCTCTCTTCTGTATGCTTGAGTAGAGAAAGTCTTAGACTTGCGTGTCTAAGCAAGAAAGTCTTTAGCTTGTATGCTAGAGCAAGGAAGTCTTGAGCTTGCAGGCTTGAGCAAGGAAGTCTTAGACTTGTGGGTCTAAACAAGGAAGTCTTATATTTGTGTGTGTGAGCAAAAGAAGTCTCTTGCTTGTGGGTTTGAGCATTTGTAATTAGATTTGGTTATAGTGGAAATCCCTTAAAAGTGTAAGGGGACTAGACTACTCTCAGGTTGTAAGAGGAACCATGATAAACTGCTTAGGTCTTGTGCTTTTACTTTCTTTATTCTATACTTACTTATTCTACTGTTGTCAACTCTAATCATCTTAATCAGATAATATATTTTAGAAGTCAACCAAATTTTTTGAGTCGGACTTTGAATTAAGTGTTCAGACCCTGGTTGAGAAACATCCGAAGTAGAACCTGAAAAGCTTTAAAAAGAAAAAGGTAACATAATTCAACTTTTTTTGTGTGTTTTTCTCACCTTCAATGTAATCATCAGATAAGCATAATCTTGGGATTGAAACCAGAGTGGAGAAATAACAAGAGTGATTCCAATGCAGTTTGATTTTGATGAAGTGAATCCAGTCTTAGCTGAGACTCCAGTTGAAGCTGTGAATCCAACTCAAAGGGTAAGACCAACCAGAAACATACAGATACCTACAAGGTTGAATGATTATGAAATTATACCTGATAGTATAATGGATGAGGAAGGAGAAGTAATACACTTGACAATATTAGCAGGTGCAAAACCACTGAATTATCAAAATGCAATGCAAGATAAAGTATGGAAAGATGCAATGAAGGAGGAACTCAATTTAGTTGAAAATTTTGGCACATGGAAACTAACTCAACTACCAGAAATAAAGAAGCCAATTGATGTGAAGTAAATTTTCAAAGTGAAGTTGAGTCCAGAAGGAACAATAGTGAATCACAAAGCAAGACTTGTGGCAAGGGGTTTCCTTCAAAGACAAGGTCTGAATTACTCTGAGGTATTTGCACCATTGACAAGGCATGAGACTATAAGACTTTTAGTGGCATTAACTTGCAGTAGAAGGTGGACTTTGTCACACATGGATGTAAAATCTGTCTTTCTAAATGATCCTCTTGATGAAGAGGTATTTGTGTCTTAACCTCCAGGTTTTGAAGTAAAGGTAAATAAGCATATTGTGTATAGACTATACAAGGCTTTGTATGGTCTGAAGCAGACCCAAAGGCCTGGAATAAGAAAATTGATGTTTTCTTCATCAGACATGACTTTAAAAAATGTTCAGTTGAGTATGGTGTGTATGCAAAATACAAGCAAGGTGAAATACTATTGTTGATATTTTTGTATGCGGATGACCTATTGATAACTGGAGAATCTCAACTGGAAATTAAAGACCTCAAAAGTATAATAAAGTCATAATTTGAAATGTCAGATCTAGGTAACTTGTCCTACTTCTTTGGTATGGAGTTTTTATATAAAGAAGGTGGAATAATCTTGCATCAAGCAAATTATGATACTGACTTGCTGAAAAGATTCAACATGTTGAACTGCAATGTTTATGTGACTCATGTTTAATTAGGTCAGAAACTGGAAGAAGATAATGATGAAGAAAGGGTAGATGCCACTCTGTACACGTAGATGATTGGATCACTAAGGTACCTATGTAATAATCAACCAGATATCAACTTTGTTGTAGAAGTATTAAGCAGATTCATGCATGATCCAAGGAAGTCTCATCTGCTAGCTGGAAAAAGAGTATTAAGATACATTGAGGGAACCTTGAGGCATGAAGTATTCTTCTCATATGGAAAAAAAAGAAGAAAAAAAAAGGTGATACGATTTTCTGATTCAAACTGGTGTGGTGACAGATTGGACATGAGAAGTACCACATGTTATGCCTTCAAGTTTCAAGGAGCTCCAATATCTTGGATCTCTAAGAAGCAACCTGTTGTGACTTTGTCTAACTCTGAGGCATAATATATTGTTAGTTGTTCAGCTTCTTGTCAAGCGGCTTGGATTAAAGATGTATTGACTGAACTTTGAGTAAACATTCAAGTACTAATCAAGCTCCTTGTTGACAACAAATTTACAATAAACTTAACTAAGAATCATGTCTTTCATGAAAGATCCAAACATATTGAAACAAAGTTTCATTACATAAGGGAGCAAGTAAACAAAGGAAGATTGACAATGCGATATTGTCTTACTAAGGACTAGATTGTTAATATCTTGATTAAACTTATAAAAGGAGAATAATTTTATAAGTTGAAGATAAACATGCGAATGATGACATTTAATTCAAAGGCTGAAACGACTTTTGAATTATCCATATTCACAAAATATAATAACACCAACAATATTCGTCTAACATAATTCACGACACTTTTAAAACGCTTATGAGCTATTGAGACATGCATTGTACTATTGTACTCTTTCGAAACCCATAAAAATTATGTTCTAGGTCACAACTAAACTCAATTCAAAATATACTAATTACTAGTGTATTTTTTTCAAAAATTGAGGGCTTGTTGCTCTTGAAGAGGGGTGTTAAAAAATATTATCCTGTCTGACTCTCCATACTTCCGTGCTTGAAAGGCCACTTTTTTCCCACTATAAATACCTGGCAGTAGCAATCAAGGTCGAGTTTCAGCGAGCGCTCGAAGCCGAGTCGCAAATCGGATCTCGCGATCTCGTTACAATTAGAATCAATCCAATTCCATTTTCCAGCGATTTCACCAAATCTTCACCATGGGAGACTTCAACAACGATCCTCTCATGCGCAACCAAAACGCCGCCGTTCAAGCTCGTACCAAAGCCCAGAATCGCGCCAACGTCCTTCAACTCAAGCTGGTACTTCTCTCTAATATCTCATAGATTCATCCCCTTTCACTCACTTTTCGTGTTTCATTTGACCTAATTTTCTTCATATCAACTAAATTCTTGTTATTGCTGTTGTTTATTTATAATAGCTAGGGTTTATTGTTCGTAACCCTATATAGTAGATTGCGTATCTATTTTTTTTGTTGATGATTTGATTTGCTTGTGATTTGACGCAGATTGGACAGAGTCATCCAACTGGCCTCACTGCGAATTTGCTGAAGCTGTTTGAGCCCAGGCCTCCATTGGAATACAAACCTCCTCCGGAGAAAAGGAAATGCCCTCCGCTAACAGGTATTTGATAATTGTTTTAATTAGGGTTTCACTTGGTTTTATAATTTTGTTATTGATGATTACTGAAATGTATTCAAGTTTGCATTTGTTTCTGTTTTTTTTGTCAAGGGATGGCGCAATTTGTCAACAAGTTTGCTGAGCCCGGTGAACCAGAATATTCTCCACCTGTGCCAGTGGTTGAAACTCCTGTAATGTCAATTCTCTTAGGACCAATTTTGCGGTGTTATTAATTTGGTGCTATTAATTTTACTGTGTTATGCATAGCTTCATTATTTTGTTTGTTTTTTGCATAGGGAATTTATGTTGAGGTTTGATTTGATTTGATGCATTTTATTTTTTTGCTTTAGTTTCTTTTTTTACTGATATAGCTGAAGTTTCGAATGACTAGTCTATATATGTTATCCATGTTGTGTCTGATTGCCTTTTCATAAAGGTCTTTGAGGAAACAGTTACTTAATTATTACTTGTTTGCAAAAAAATAATTTTGCTTAGTACTAGTGTATTTATGTTATCGCCAAATTTCTGATGTTAAGTTTTACTTCATGTAGTTTTTTGCCAGCACAATGTTTAACTAACCAACTTTGACTATATCGTATGGTACTAATTCGTTCTAAGAAAATATCTGCATAATTATTCAGTGGTCATGAATAACTATATTAGTTGAAGAATATAATTACTATTGCTTCTTTAGACATTACCAGGTTTCAGTTATTCTTGAATTTGCTTAAATAAGTTGTTATTATAATGTATAGTGGACTGACATAGCTGCTATATACTGAGTATCTATTGATTTGCATAGAGTTGATGTGAAAATTAGCAAATAAAATAAGTAAGGTAGTTTAAGTTGCTTCAATAGTGAATAGTATAATACACATAGTTGCTGATCCATTTTGGTGTACTCAGGCAGAAAGAAGGGCGAGAGTGCACAAGTTAAGACTTGAGAAAGGAGCTGCGAAAGCTGCTGAGGAGCTTGAGAAATGTGATGACTCATTATATTGTTATAAATTTGTTGATTTTCATGGATTTATGTTCTCTGAATGTTGTTTCTCCATCTGCTTCAATGTAGATGATCCACAAAATGATCCAAATATATCAGGAGATCCATACAAGACTTTATTTGTGGCCAGACTTGTAAGTTATGTTTTCGAATATGTAGCTGTGGTGCTTTTCATATTGCTTGTCATATCTTATGGATTCCATCTTCATAACAGAGTTATGAGACTACTGAGAGCAGAATCAAAAGGGAGTTTGAGTCATATGGTGCAATCAAACGGGTAGGTATTTTGAATATGCTCAAAATGGTTCGGTAAGCATATTACCTATGTATGGTTAATATTTTATTCTATTTCACTTCTATGTTGCACCGTCACAACTTTTGAGCTGTCAAAATGTATTTTCAAATTCAACAATTTCCATATGCAGTAATGCATCATAAGAAACAAAAGATTAGCATACTTTAAAGTAATAATGAAGATCTTTATACCCTTTTCTTTTGCTGCTGAAGAAACTGTTTCTTGTGACTTAAGCGGTTTTCATGACTAACTAGCTTATCAGGAAATCAGTCTGCTATGCATAATATTTATCTCATCCTATCCAAAGTTTCAAGAGTATATAATATGAATGTTCCTAATTTAACTTGTCACTTTTAGTGGCTTTGAAATAGTAACTACTGCTATTTTTTTGCGTCACCAATATTTTGGTGTTGACTTTTTTTTCTTCCACTTTGCTACATTTCACTGTTAATATATATGGATGGATTTGAAATCTCGGGGCTTTGAGTCTCTAGGAGTTTTTAGCTGCAAGTTTGAAATTTTGATACACATCCCCTAGTAATGGTTTATCATCTCAGAATATATCCCTGGTAATGGTTAATCATCTCGATATACACCCCCCTGGTAATGGTTGATCATCTTATTCTTCAACTGGTAAATGATTCTCATATCAATAAAACCCAAATTCCGTACAAGTTCTTTCTCCTGCATGACATTTTAGTTTGGCAGAGCAATGATGCAAAATTGTGCTTTTGGCCTTGTTTTCGAGCAAGTAAAGGAGACTGACAACTTCTGTTCTTTTCATGCACTGGGTAAAATATGTTGGGAGTATTTCAATCTCTTCCCTTTTTTGCTTAAATTCTTAGTTAGCCTACATTTGATTTTGCTAAAGGCTTAAATTCTTATATTTGGCTTTAAAGGCTATCAAAACCAAATCAGCCGTTGAGAAGATGTTATGGTATTTTCTTTATTACCCATTAGTCGTTTTCATTTTATCAATTTTAAAAAATAAATATCCCTGGTAAGGGGACGCTAGTCAACAACTGGTTAATTGGGCACAAATACATCAGTTTTTCTGCAACTATTGCTGGTGGTGATGCATCTCATGATGGGAGCTTTGTGATTTAAAGGTGAGCACGGCTAATTAGGCATAGAGCCTGTCTGCCGTGCCATTTAGGATTATCGTCTTAGTCTTTTATTTTGGTTGTATTTTATTGGTTCTGAAGTGAGACTGAGAGAGAGCAGCTTGTGTTATTTTCAGTTGAGCTGATTACCAGAATGTTCTTTTCTAACTATTCTTCCCTTTTCCAATTTCTTATAATTTAGGTTCGACTGGTTACTGATACTGAGTCAAATAAGCCCAGGGGTTATGCATTCATTGAGTACCTGCACACAAGAGACATGAAAGGTTTGTAGTGGTTTTAGTAAGATTTATCTGGTTATTACTATATATACTTGGGTGTCATTTATTTATGTCAAATTTTCCGTTAATTATGCAGCTGCTTATAAACAAGCTGATGGTAGGAAAATTGAGGGTAGAAGGGTGCTTGTGGATGTTGAACGTGGGAGGACTGTTCCAAACTGGCGACCCCGCCGCCTAGGTGGTGGGCTAGGTACTACTAGAGTGGGGGGCGAAGAAGTTAATCAGCGACATTCGGGGAGGTAAATAATTTGTTATTTTATTTTATAGAATTTTCATTATTGTTAGCAGCGACACTTCAAATTGAAGGCGTGTTTGGTGCCTGATACCAGCACTTTACATTTAATTTATTCATTTCCTCAAATTATTACTGATTGATGTTGTGTTGGTGTTGTGTTTGTGTTTCATAGATTTCATTCATTACTTATTTTAAACCTTAAGTAGAATTACAACTAAATTTGAATACTGAAAACATCAACTGTCATGACCTTATTCTATGATGTGTATATTTAGTGTTGCAAATGACTGATAATTTGTGAAATTTCAACAATTAAATCCTCACCTGGGTGGTGGACCAAGCGATTGTACGGTTCTTCGATGTTTGGAATTCAGGCAACATTTCTAAAGTTTGCTGACCCTTGGAAAAATATTATGTTTTATCTGTTGGAAATATCTGGCACATACTCTTCCCTCCCCCTCCACTCCAAATTCCCAAGCATTAAAATTGACACTGAAATTGAAATATTTTTGTAACATTGCATTTAACTTTTCTGATTCGTGATGGAATAGATTTGCCCAACTTATGAGCTGAACCCTGGATTATATTGTCATATACTTAATATGTCTTGTTGAATGTTGTGTAATTAATTTGTTGGGCGCCTCCTCTGTGCCATTGAAGGGAGATTCTGATATGTCTTGATTATTCAGGGAGCAACAGCAGTCAGGACCTTCTCGTTCTGAAGAACCCAGAGCGCGAGAGGATCGACATGTTGATCGGTAATTATTTGTGTCTGCTTCAATTTTAACTTGTTTTTTGGTTTTTGTACTGAATAGGATTGCTGACCATTCTATGGTTTTTAGACAATGTAGAGGGAAGGCTCATGGTTTCCCAGCATTATATTTTGTATTAATATGGAATATTTTGAAACAAGTTTGACTTCTATTGGCCAAAATCATTTTAGGGACAGAGAAAAGTCACGCGAAAGAGGTAAGGATAGAGAACGTGAGCGATCACGTGAACGATCTAGCGATAAGGCTAGGGATCGTGATCATAGAGAGGACAGGCACCACAGAGACAGGGACCGAGATAGGAATAGGGACAGAGACAGAGGTAAGGAAAGGGAAAGGGAAAGAGATCGTGGACGTGATCGAGAGAGAGGACGTGACCGTGATCGTGGCCGGGAACGTGATCGTGATCGAGATGTAGAACATGATCGTTATCGCGAAAAAGATAAGGATTATGAAGTTGGGGAAACTGAGCGGGGACGGTCCCATGATAGGGGAACTGATTATGATCATGTTGAATCTAAACATGAGAAGGAACCTCATGGTGAAAGAGAGCGAGGCTATGATGATCATCGTGGACGGTACAATCAACCTGGGCATGGACACAGGCATGCAGACCCTGAACATGATCCTGATCAGTATGACCATTATGATCATCATAGAGGACGAGTGCAGTACGATGAAGGAGATGACCATGGTGATTACAATCAACATCCTGATCCTGCTAAGATTGAAGATGACCATCACACTGAACGAGCAAAATCTAAATCACGTGACAGGGACAGAAATCGTGACACGGACCGTGATTATCATCGCTCAGAGAGGTCCCATTCTCGAGAATATGATTACTAGAAACTTGAGCACAATACTTCTCAATTTCACTGGTAAGATTCACGGTGTCCATTTTGGTATTCTGATTGGTTATTAATTCAGTGTCATTCTGTCTTGTATATTCTAATTGGTTCTTAGTTGCTCTTAATGGATTCAGCATGGAGTGATCAAAGCACAACAAAAGAACTCATTGCCCCGCCATCCTTGTTTACTTGCTTTTCATGTTTTGATATTGAAAGCTCACTGCTGCAGCTTTGGTGATTCAGTATGCCATGGACTGCTAATGTTGTTGATTTTGTTTCATAAAGACATTTTCAGATACAATTTTTTTCTTCAGATTTTGTGGGAACCATTGTCTGGATTTTACTTCATCTTTGGTCTATTGATGTTGCTTGGAACTACATGAGTTATTCAAGTGTTGCCTATATATTACATTAGGTTACAAGACCCTTTATTAGATGTTTAGATGTTGAGAAATGAAGTCTATCATCAATAAGTAATTGTTTAGATAATTGACAGTTGCAAACTTGAGTTTTCAAAATTTGTCCCCACTTCAATATGTTGGTGCCAATTTTTACCTTGGCATGTCTACTTTAATTTGTTTTTGAGATGAATTATAGTGATATTCTTGTCCAAAAGCAAACGCAAAACGTTCTTTCAATCTATACATGGACTTGCCCGGAGATGCTGCCATGGAACATAGCTTGGTTTCATATGTTTTTTAGTTTCTAAAAAAACCTATCCCATTTAGATGCAACAAAACCATGTGTTTTTGCCTGTCTAGAATGGTGCATCAAGCATCTATAAATGGAATTGGTTTTTACATGCCTCTTTCGAAAATAAAGGCTTTTACTTGCTAGTAACCCAATGTTTTGTATTTTACCGTCTTATTATTATGGAAGCATAAGATTAAGATTGCATGCTTAAAAAACATGCTATTTACGTAAATAGAAAATTGGGCAGTTTAAAAATACACAATAATATCATAATCATCTGTGAATAATGGCCAAGACGAGTTTATGTCACTGCTACATTGAGTTAGACCATAATCAACTGTTACATTCTTTTAATTGCAGTATGATTGGTTTTTTTTTTTGACCCATCAGCTTGATTGGTTTTAAAATAATGAAAATATGAATATAAAAAGTGGTTACATAATTGTTATGAGCCTACTTGCATTGAGCCTTGCAAAGCCATTTTTTGTTTTGTTAGCTTCAAGTAAATTGAGCGACTAAAGGGTAAAAGAAAAAGCAAAGAAATGAAATTACCGTGAAGTTTCGATGTGGTATTGGATAAGCAAGGACGTACGGTTATCTCTTTGAATGGACGCTAGAACTTGAAGTTTGAATGCTTCCAAATGTTACTTCCACGAAGCTTCCCACAACCTTAATGATTGTTATTCACGCTAGAAGGTATTAGGTTGTTAGTATAATTTGTCTTGTTTCTAAAATTGTTTATTTCTAATCTAATAATTCATCACTGAGCGAGTGTTGTGTCTATTTGCCATTTTCATATTCCATAAGCATTAGTGTTGCTAATGTCTATGTTTTGTATATGATTATTATTAAACTACTTTTTATTTATAGATATATTTAATTTGAATTTTTATCTTTCAGTAAATTGGTACTGTTAATAAGTGCTATATATTTTTTTAAATAATAAATATATTTAAAAGTTTGTACAGAATTTTATATTAAAGAACAAGCTATTTTTTTAAAAAAATCTTATAACTAAAGCGAGAATGGTGAGATAAATTGTGATTTAAGAGTTTAATTTTCATTTTGTTAATAGAAAAATTATTTCACTGTCAATACATTACAATACAATCAATCACGGAAGACATTAAAAGTGGTGATGACTTACAATAAAAACCTTCTAATTATCTAGCCCTTATAGTGAATAAACCTATAATTTAATGTATATTAAAAAAAGTTGGATGTATAATTTTATTTTACAGTTTGTATCAATGGAATCTAATAACAAATTTAGGTAAAGAAAATGTTTATTGTTATTTACCTTAAAACAATGTGACACTCTAAGGTCAAAGGCCTATAGCCTTAAATTTCAAAATGTCAAAGTGTTGCTAATAGTTTAAGAGTACATATATATTATAATATTAGTACATGCTACCTCGAAAAGAATCTTTTGAAATCAGTACCTTGAAGAGAAATAGAGAAAATGTGACTTTGCTATATAAAGAGAGGATGGTAGTAGTACTGAGGAAAAAAAAATTACCACCTTTTAAAATAAGTATAGTTAGAAAAAAAATACAATAACATTTATTTATAGTAGTTTCTTAGTTACATTTTGCTTCAAACGGTTCTTCTTCATACATGGCTTTACAAGTTAAAATGAAGACACCATCAAAAGCAGCATCAACACTTATATGGCTAATCTCGTGGAGCCTTATCATGATCTATCATGTCAGTTTTGCTGAAAGAATTTTGGAAGATAAAAAGTCAGATAATTTTGTTATGCAAAAGAGACATTTCTCTTGGTATACTGGAAAGTCTTCCTATGAACGTGTTTGGCCTGTGAGTTTATTATTATGAGACAACATTTTTGTTATGTTTTTTTTTTGTTGTTGTTGTTAATGTTATGTTATGAAATTGATGTATGTTGTAATGGTTTTGTTGAGCAGGAAATGAAATTTGGTTGGAGAATTGTTGTAGGGTCTATTGTTGGATTTTTTGGAGCAGCATTGGGTAGTGTTGGAGGGGTAGGAGGTGGAGGAATTTTTGTACCTATGCTTACTTTGATCATTGGTTTTGATCCTAAGTCTTCTACAGCTATCTCTAAGTGTTAGTAATAGTATATTTCTATATTCGGTTAATTCTTTTATTCTATCGTCAGAGATTGAACCATAGACTAACAACTTACATCTGTTTAACTCAACTATCACATATCAGGTGAACTACTTACGTTAATGTTTGAAATTGTCTTTGTTGCAGGTATGATTACAGGAGCGGCGGGATCAACTGTGTATTACAATCTGAGACTCAGACACCCAACACTAGACATGCCACTTATAGATTATGATCTTGCTCTGCTTTTCCAACCTATGTTAATGCTAGGAATTAGCATTGGTGTTGCATTTAATGTCATGTTTGCTGATTGGATGGTTACTGTTTTGCTTATCATTCTATTCATAGGTAATCAACACAATCTTCTCACTTAATTCAATTTTCTGAGTTATAAAATTCGCAATCTCTGATCTCTAAATCCAGAGCCGCCTTAAGTTTTTGAAAACTCTGGATAAGTTAAGCATGATTCAGCTGTATTAAAATAAATAGGAGGTCTTATTTTACAACGGTTTAACTCTAGAAAATTTTAAGCACACTTTGGTAGCCCATCTTGCACTACTGTCTAAATTTATTTCAAGATCTAATATCCAGCTGATGCAACACATGGTGATAGGTACGTCCACAAAAGCTTTAATCAAAGGCATCAATACATGGAAACAAGAAACAATCATGAAGAAGGTAAAATTTGTTTAGTTACAATTCTTCTGATTTGAGTCTCATTTACCTTCTATACTTTATAGTAAGAGTATACTATGCTTCTGAAATTTCAGGAAGCTGCAAAGATGTTGGAATCAGGTTCTACTCCTGATTGTAAGTTCCTGCAAACTTTTCTTATATGAAGAATTGTACTCCCTCTGTTCTATATTATAAGTAAATTTTACTTTGTAGATTCATTGAATGATTAATAAATCTAGTATATATATAGATCAAATACATTAATTATTCAACGAATAAAATAATAAAATTTACTTATAATATAAAAGTAGATGATTATTTGATATTGCATATATCTATAAAAAAATGATTTTAATAAACACGATTTGAAGAGATTTAGTTCTTAATTTGTGTGATATAAAATTTAAAATTATACCGGAAGAGCAGTCAAACAGGCAACAAACTGCGCCGGCTATCCTTTTTGGATAGCAAAATCAATTTTCTTAAAACCTACCTTCATTATCCTAAGAGACACAACATTACTATGCATGAACCTTTGCACTCTCGGCAATATTACCCTTGAAACACTAATGCACTAATTACCTCTTCTTTCAGATGCTTTTTCAGATGCGTCTGAAGAAGACTACACGGCACTACCAGCTGATCTACAAGATGAAGAGGTAATTCAAATGGTTTTTCAAATCATGTTTGATAGAAATTTCATTGAAGTTTTATCGAATATGCGAAATTCTTTTGTGCAGGTTCCTTTACTAGACAACATTTATTGGAAAGAATTATCAGTCCTTGTGTATGTTTGGGTGGCTTTTCTCATTGTTCAGATTATTAAGGTAGAATCAAACTATTATATTTGTTTTTTTTTCTCTGATTAAATAGTTATAACTCAATATGCAACTTTTATGTATTTCATTGCAGACATATAGCAAAACTTGTTCCATAGAGTACTGGGTTCTTAACTCTTTGCAGGTAAACATTCTAAACATACATTTGGACACAACAAGATACATAATCAGTCGAACGTTTTAATGTTCAGACGATTATGATCGATTGACAGTGTAAAAAATATTTATATAAGCTATGTAAAAAAATATATTAATTTTGAATTCGAAATACATATTTTGATTGGAGCTGACATAAAACCATTTCCTTGCAAGGTCTAACTGAAATTTGGTGTGCTATTTATTATCACTTTAAGGTGCCCATTGCAATTTCTGTTACACTTTATGAAGCCATATGCTTAAGCAAAGGAACTAGAGTGATTGCATCAAAGGGAAAGGAAGTCACACATTGGAAGTTTCATAAGATTTGTCTTTATTGTTTCTGTGGAATCATTGCTGGTATGGTTAGTGGATTGCTTGGTCTAGGAGGTGGTTTTATTTTGGGACCATTGTTTTTGGAACTTGGGATTCCCCCACAGGTACAAAAAAACCGAACTGAATCAAACCGAACTAGTGCTACTTGTTTATGTAGTAATCTTTACTATATATATATGCATGTGACAGGTAGCTAGTGCTACATCAACATTTGCTATGGTTTTCTCTTCTTCCATGTCAGTGGTTCAATATTATCTTCTAGATAGCTTTCCGGTACCCTATGGTAAGACATAATAAACATGACTTTGTAACATTGATTTGGTTAAAATTGTGTTTGAAGTAAAGTGATTTATGTTCGAATGCAGCTTCATACTTAGTTTTGGTTGCGACCATAGCTGCATTAACGGGTCAATATGTGGTGAGAAAGATAATTGCTATCTTTGGTAGAGCATCTATCATCGTCTTCATATTAGCATTCACAATTTTTCTGAGCGCAATCGGTTTAGGTAAGTTACATTTGTTTTTAGATTTATCTTATATCCATGATCTATACATTTAACCATAAAATAAGGTGAAAATAGTGTGTGGACATTATTCTTAGTTTAAGTGAAATTTTTTGGTGATTAGTTTCTTCAAATATACTAACAATGGCTTCTATTTTGGTATATCACAGGTGGGGTGGGAATAGGAAACATGGTTGAGAAGATGGAAAATGAAGATTATATGGGATTTTACAATATTTGCCACAAATCTTAGGATGGAAAAGTATATAGGATTTGACAAAATGGTCACTTATTGTTATTTTCATTTAAGTAAAGAAAATATCTTTGTTTTTTTCTTTCATTTCTATGTGTTGGTGTAGAAGTCTCTATTTTTAGCCAACAATGACTGGAATATATTCTTTGCCATCTAAATATTGTTATTGTGTGTTTTTATATTTGGTTTCTAAAGAATTTTCATTTTATCAAAAGTCAACAAATATTTATGAAGGACATTGGAAATGCCGAGCAACGTGTATCAGAGTATTATTAGTGTACATTGTATTTTATTTTTGAGAAATTTTTAATGCACTCTATATCTTCCAACTACATCAAAGTGAATTTTTTCAAATGTCATCCGTTTTTCGGCCACACCTTTTGTACAATTAACCATGATTATTTTGAGAGACATCTTATATGTTGGGTTATTTTTATTTTGGAGATACATCTCTAAAACATTTTTAAAAAATATTTTAATTGCTTAATTCAGTAGATATTTTGGAGATGCATATCTGAAATTATGGGCGATATTTTTAAAATTTTCTGTCACCTTTATATGTCAGGTATTTTCGGAGATCCATCTCCAAAAATATTTGATACTCCATTCTTGACATACTTGATTTTTAACCAAACCCTTCACTTTAAAATCTCTTAATTCTCAATCCATTTTTCAATCAAAATCTTCATTCTTTTGGTTCAACATATCACATGGAGTAAAAGAAAATAAAATTTCAAGTAAAGATTGTTATTTTTCTTCTGCATTGCTCACATTAATCATCAATTTTTTCTGAAAAAAGTTACGATGTATCCAAAAATGTATCTTCGGAACGTGTATGAACTCATCCAGAGATGCACTTCCGAAAGTTATATGTGTTCATTTTTGAAGTCATTCTGCAGCAATAGTTGACCTTATGTTTTGTTATTGTTTTAATTGTTTTCATTAGATATGTGCACTCCGATGTTTTTCTAAAACAATTTGTTTCTCCGAAGGTCCAAGGTGTGGTTGTTTCTCTGAATGTTCAAGGTGTTGTTGTGAAGGCGGTAGATGTTTGCAACGACTTTAAAAACAAGCAAGAGTTTGAATCTCGCGATCAAATACTTGAATGGATTCGTATGGAGGCCTTTAAACTTGGATTCGGTGTGGTTATCAGAAGGTCTGATAATAGTTTGGATAGAAGATACGCCTTTGTGGCAATGACGTGCGAAAGAAGCGGGAAATATCGAACTCTTCTTCGGAAGTTTAAAAGAGACGACACACCGGTACAAGAAAATGTGAGTGTTTGTTTAAGGTTCGTGGTTACATGTTGGCAAACAAAAACTGGATATTTAATGTGATATGTGGGTTGCATAACCATGATTTGTGTTTAAAATTAGCCGGTCATCCTACTGTCTGACGGCTAAAGCCGGAAGAGAAGGAATGCATTGCTGACATGACCTTGAATCTTGTTCAACCGAAAAATATACTTGCAACATTCAAACAGAAACGACCCGACAATATATCAAATATCAAGCAAGTATATAATATTCAGTACCTCACTAACAAGGCGCCTAAGGGGGATAGAACTGAGATGCAACAACTCTTGAAACTATTGGATGATAACATTTACGTGTTCAGGTACCGAACGTGCGATGATGGAGTAACGGTTAGAGATATTTTTTGGACTCATCCTGATTCCATAAAGTTGTTCAACACGTTTCCTACGGTTCTCATACTAGATTCAACCTACAAGACCAACAAGTATAAACTTCCATTATTTGAGATGGTTGGTGTTACCTCAACTAAGAAGACATATTATGTTGGTTTCTTATTTCTTGAGTGTGAAAAAGAGGACAATTTTACTCGGGCATTAGAGGTGCGTCGATCACTGTTAAAGGTCCAAGGCGAAATGTCTAAAATGATTGTTACCAACCGCGATACCACATTGATGAATTCAATTGCAAAGGTATTTCCTTCTTCTTATACATTACTTTGTAGGTATCACATAACAAAAAATGTGACAAGTTGATTTAAACCCACGGTAGGAATGAAATAAATAGAGTCTGAAGATGGAAATTGGTGAAGGCGGATGTGGTTGTGGAAAAAATAATGAATGCATGGAATCATACAATAAATTCTTCAACAAAATAACTATATGCCGGTTGTTAGATGCCCAATTGTGCTTATTTGAGCTATCAAATTTGGGCATCTTTCGCTCCTTTTTGTCCTAAAAATGTATTAAACCGCCTCACTTTTGTTGATTATGCATCATTGTATTAAATGCTCTTGGTCCCTTTGATTTGTGTGCTACTGTGCAGGATTTGAGCTTGAAAGAATATAATTTGAATACACAAGAGAGTTGACAAAGGAATTAAGCAAAGAAGAAGAGCAAAAGCTAGTTCACTAGGCGAACACTTGGCGAGTGAGTAGTGAGTGTTCGCTGCAGCCTCGCCCAGCGAGCTGTTAGCGAACACTCCCAGACTTGGGCAGAAGCATTCTTGGCATCATTCGCTGGTAGCGAGCAGATGGAGAAAGACTCGCTAGGCGAGCTCCCAGCGAGCACCTAGCGAGCAACTCCAGAACCAATCAAAGCATCCTTCGCTGGCTGGTTCGCTGCAACGAAGACATAGCGAAGCAAAACAAAAGAAAATCTGCAGTCCTCGCTAGCATGTTCACTAGGCGAGGATGTATCGAGCGTTCGCTAGCAGTTCGCCTAGCGAGCAGGTAGCGAACGTGCCAGATTTTATGCTTTCTATAAGTAGCAGTGGCTACTTTTTGGAAAATATCTTTTTTTTACTTGTTTTACATAGTTTTTGCTAGAGAGGAGACTTTTGTGCCCTAGAACACTTTTGCCTCTCATTTCTTCATCTCTTAACATATTCCAACAAAAAGAAGGTGGATTCTCATCCAAGTTGGATCATTCGACTCGGATGTTCATCAGCCTTCTTCCGAAACTTCTTTTGCAAGCTACCATGGAAATGAGTGGCTAAGTTCTTTATTTTGTCAAAGTTAGATGTAGGTGATCATTAAGCTTTGTATGTATATGGATGATCCTCATTTGTAAAACTCTTTGATGATTAATATATGGTGAAAACCTTGTTTTATTTATAACCTTTTGTGTTGGTTCATGATCGAAAGATATTTTCCAACTCTTGACCTAGGTTTTCATCCATCTCCTTTCTTGAGCTAGAAATAGTCTTGAATGTTGTTGTTCACTAAAATTTTAAACCTAAATGTTGTCATTTTGATAGATTGTGTGAGAAATCAATAATGGATCAAAATGAGAAATATCACAATGTGAGTTAGAGATAATCATATTGGGAGGATATTGTGAATGTGTTTATCATTAAAAAGAGTTAATGCATTATTGATCGAACATATACATGTAAAGTGATTACCGAACCCTAACTTTGACAATCTTTATTTAAATCGTAAAACCAATATTTTACCGCAGTTCTTACTTTTATGCAAAGCTACCGAGACTTAAAACCAAACCCCCCTTTTTGTTACTATAAAGTTACGAATTTATCAACTGTCGAACAACAGCAATATCTCATATTCCCTGTGGAGACGATAACAAAAACCCGACACTTTACCACTGTCTTAACAAAATGGCGCCGTTTCCGGGGAATATAAATTGATATTGCGAGCATCGCAATAGTTGTTGAATTTTTAACTTTGAATTTTTTTTACTTGTGCTTGTAATCTGTTTGGTTTAGTGTGCAACCTTTGTTTTATGCGAGGATAGATTCCTGAGGACCAACTTCTTTTTGATCCCGAGATCGAGAGAACTGCAAGGAGACTGAACAGCAGAACAAGACGAAGGAGGCAACAAGCTAGGCAAAGACAAGAGCAAGGAGAAAGTTCCTCTACACTACCACCATCACCACATTTCACACCAATTATGACAGCACCTCCACCACCACCACCTCCAGTTTCCACTCCATGCATAAACAGTCCAAGACATACAGCTCAGTTCGCACGGAATCTTCAAACGGAAGGCAAGCTGAGATGAAAACGGGAATCCTAGCTCTAGTCTATCAAAATCCTTTTACGGGACTAGACCATGAGGATTCGTTCACCCATCTTACAAAATTCTATGAAATTGTTGGCGCAACGGAAGCAACAGAAGCTGACGAAGAGTCATTGTTTAGGAAACTATTTCCTCATTCCTTGATTGGGAAAGTGAAGGAGTGGTACCTTGATCAATCGACAACAATCATGGCAGATTGGAATCTTCTAGAGGAGAAGTTTCTTGAACGTTTCTTTCCACATAACCGATTCATGGAGGCTAAAACTGCGATTGCAGTATTTTCTCAAGGAGCTAGTGAATCACTAAACGAAGCATAGGAGCGATACAAATCTATGTTAAGAAAGTGCAAGGGACACGGTTTCGACGAGCTCACTCAATTTCATATTTTCCGCAATGGACTCCTTTCAGTTCACAAGACCTTATTGGATGCTACGGCGGGAGGTTCTTTGATGTCAAAAAGTGCAGATGATGCAATTGCAATTATTGATAAGATGACACTTAATGATCATCAAGGGAATCATAACCGTGGGGTGACTCAAAGAAAACCGGGTGTGCTCGAGTTAGGGACAAATGACGCTATTCTTGCGCAAAACAAGCTTATCTCACAACAAGTGGAACTCTTAACTCAACAAATAAAAGAGTTAAAAGAACCTTCAAAAGCTAAACAAATAGCTTGTTGTGAACTTTGCAAAGGTGAACACGACACCGAATTTTGTCCACCTCCAGGATTTGAAGAAGTTAATTACATGGCAAATCAAAGAGATTATCAACCGAGGTAACATCAATAACAACAACACCAAAATCCACAACAACAAAACTATCAAGGCAACCAAGGGTACCAACCTAGGGGAAACTATCAACATAACCAAGGTTATGGGGGTGGTCCTTCCAACCGTCAAAATCCCTATCAAACTCAACAACCACCGGTCGTAGCTTCAAAATTGGAAGAGACATTGACGCAATTCATGCAAATGTCAATGGCGAATCA